GGCAATGGGGTCAAAGAGGTATGGGGTAGGTTTAAAAATGTAGTGTTGGAGTGTTCAGCAGAAGTTTGTGGTTACAGGAAAGTGGGGTGCGGGGAGGGAAGAGGAGCGATTGGTGGAAATGATGATGTAAAGAGAGTAGTAAGGGAGAAAAAGTTAGCATATGAGAAGTTTTTAAAAAGTAGAAGTGATGCAAGGAGGGAAGAGTATATGGAGAAAAAGAGAGAGGTTGAGAGAGTGGTGAAGCAATGTAAAAAGAGAGCAAATGAGAGAGTGGGTGAGATGTTATCAACAAATTTTGTTGAAAATAAGAAAAAGTTTTGGAGTGAGATTAACAAGTTAAGAAAGCCTAGAAAACAAATGGATTTGTCAGTTAAAAATAGGAGAGGAGAGTTATTAAATGGAGAGTTAGAGGTATTGGGAAGATGGAGGGAATATTTTGAGGAATTGTTAAATGTTGATGAAGATAGGGAAGCTGTGATTTCGTGTATAGGACAAGGAGGAATAACATCATGTAGGAGTGAGGAAGAGCCAGTTGTGAGTGTGAGGGAAGTTCGTGAGGCAGTAGGTAAAATGAAAGGGGGTAAGGCAGCCGGGATTGATGGGATAAAGATAGAAATGTTAAAAGCAGGTGGGGATATAGTTTTGGAGTGGTTGGTGCAATTATTTAATAAATGTATGGAAGAGGGTAAGGTGCCTAGGGATTGGCAGAGAGCATGCATAGTTCCTTTGTATAAAGGCAAAGGGGATAAAAGAGAGTGCAAAAATTATAGGGGGATAAGTCTGCTGAGTATACCTGGTAAAGTGTATGGTAGAGTTATTATTGAAAGAATTAAGAGTAAGACGGAGAATAGGATAGCAGATGAACAAGGAGGCTTTAGGAATAGGGGGTGTGTGGACCAGGTGTTTACAGTGAAACATATAAGTGAACAGTATTTAGATAAGGCTAAAGAGGTCTTTGTGGCATTTATGGATTTGGAAAAGGCATATGACAGGGTGGATAGGGGGGCAATGTGGCAGATGTTGCAAGTGTATGGTGTAGGAGGTAGGTTACTGAAAGCAGTGAAGAGTTTTTACGAGGATAGTGAGGCTCAAGTTAGAGTATGTAGGAGAGAGGGAAATTATTTCCCAGTAAAAGTAGGCCTTAGACAGGGATGTGTGATGTCGCCGTGGTTGTTTAATATATTTATAGATGGGGTTGTAAGAGAAGTGAATGCGAGGGTCTTGGCAAGAGGCGTGGAGTTAAAGGATAAGGAATCACACACAAAGTGGGAGTTGTCACAGCTGCTCTTTGCTGATGACACTGTGCTCTTGGGAGATTCTGAAGAGAAGTTGCAGAGATTGGTGGATGAGTTTGGTAGGGTGCGCAAAAGAAGAAAATTAAAGATGAATACGGGAAAGAGTAAGGTTATGAGGATAACAAAAAGATTAGGTGATGAAAGATTGAATATCAGATTGGAGGGAGAGAGTATGGAGGAGGTGAATGTATTCAGATATTTGGGAGTGGACGTGTCAGCGGATGGGTCTATGAAAGATGAGGTGAATCATAGAATTGATGAGGGGAAAAGAGTGAGTGGTGCACTTAGGAGTCTGTGGAGATGAAGAACTTTGTCCTTGGAGGCAAAGAGGGGAATGTATGAGAGTATAGTTTTACCAACGCTCTTATATGGGTGTGAAGCATGGGTGATGAATGTTGCAGCAAGGAGAAGGCTGGAGGCAGTGGAGATGTCATGTCTGAGGGCAATGTGTGGTGGTGTGAATATAATGCAGAGAATTCGTTGTTTGGAAGTTAGGAGGAGGTGCGGGATTACCAAAACTGTTGTCCAGAGGGCTGAGGAAGGGTTGTTGAGGTGGTTCGGACATGAAGAGAGAATGGAGCGAAACAGAATGACTTCAAGAGTGTATCAGTCTGTAGTGGAAGGAAGGCGGGGTAGGGGTCGGCCTAGGAAAGGTTGGAGAGAGGGGGTAAAGGAGGTTTTGTGTGCGAGGGGCTTGGACTTCCAGCAGGCATGCGTGAGCGTGTTTGATAGGAGTGAATGGAGACAAATGGTTTTTAATACTTGACGTGCTGTTGGAGTGTGAGCAAAGTAACATTTATGAAGGGGTTCAGGGAAACCGGCAGGCCGGACTTGAGTCCTGGAGATGGGAAGTACAGTGCCTGCACTCTGAAGGAGGGGTGTTAATGTTGTAGTTTAAAAACTGTAGTGTAAAGCACCCTTCTGGCAAGACAGTGATGGAGTGAATGATGGTGAAAGTTTTTCTTTTTCGGGCCACCCTGCCTTGGTGGGAATCGGCCAGTGTGATAATAAAAAAAATAATTTAAGAAACAAGTAGTTTTGGTAAAAATTGTTTAGATGAGGACTGTATCAATTGGAGTTGACTTGTTGAAATAGATTGGGAGTCTGATAAAGTTAATGTCAAACATGTATCCACCTAACTTGAACATACAAAATTCCTGGTATTAACTTACCAAATAGGACCACCGGTAGAACACACCCTAATGCTACAAAGCCAGCAAGACATACGAAGGCCAACGTAAAATTACTGAACAAAGGGAACGGCACACTGTAGGAAGTCACTTGCCTCCCTTTTTATTTTCAAATTTATCCACTATATTTTTAGTGGTTTTAATTATTTTCTTCACAATCTGCAGTGTAGAGCATCACTGAATTATTTTCTGGTCATCTGAGGCTGTTCCATTACAATTTAGCTCCGATGACGATGAACTGAATTAGCCAGTTATTCAGACCGGTCTTCCACTATTTTTCATTATGGTGTCCTGTCCCTCCGACCCAGCTGTCCCCGCAACACACTTTTTTTTCAAAATTTCTCCAAGGGTCAAATCAGCATCATTTTAATACACTATTATTTTATACAAAATTACACAGGTTGACTTCCGAAAAATTCAAAATTTTCCACATTAGTCGTGGAGATGGAAAATACAGTGACTGCACTCTGAAAGAGAGGTGTGTAGTGTTGCAGTTCAGACAGTTATTTGACCTGTAATGTCTGAGCACTTTTGGCAAGACAGTTATTCAGTGAATGATGGTGAAAGTGTTTCTTTTATCAGGGTCCCCCTACCTAGGTGGGAGATAGCCAATGTTATTAAAAAAAAAATTAAAATTGAAGAATTTTGTCCACTAATAAATTAACCAGCATGAAATTTTGTCAGTATATTATAAAACAACATTGATAATGAATAAAAATGTATAGAGCATATCTTGTAAATACTGTATCTTGTAAATACTGTATCTTGTAAATACTGTATCTTGTAAATACTGTATCTTGTAAATACTGTATCTTGTAAATACTGTATCTTGTAAATACTGTATCTTGTAAATACTGTATCTTGTAAATACTATATCTTGTAAATACTGTATCATGTAAATACTGTATCAAGTCAATACTGTATCGAGTCAGTACCGTATCATATAAATACTGTATCGATCAATACTGTATCATATAAATACTGTATCTTGTAAACACTGTATCGAGTCAATACTGTATCATATAAATACTGCATCAAGTCAAAACTGTATTGAGTCAATACTGTATCATATAAATACTGTATCAAGTCAAAACTGTATTGAGTCAATACTGTATCGAGTCAATACTGTATCGAGTCAATACTGTATCGAGTCAATACTGTATCGAGTCAATACTGTATCGAGTCAATACTGTATCGAGTCAATACTGTATCAAGTCAATACTGTATCAAGTCAATACTGTATCAAGTCAATACTGTATCGAGTCAATACTGTATCGAGTCAATACTGTATCGAGTCAATACTGTATCAAGTCAATACTGTATCAAGTCAATACTGTATCAAGTCAATAGTGTATCGAGTCAATACTGTATCAAGTCAATACTGTAATCTTCCATCACAGACTCAGTGACATGTATAATTAATGTCCTTACAAAGTGAGTCACATTATAGACAGTCATGTCCCTGGTAAAGGCTTCCAAACACACTAAGGGCTTCCAGCCCTTGACTGGGAATGTCCTTATTTTTTGCACTTCCATCATGGTGCTTTGATTACAGTAAAGGGCTCTTGATACAAGGAACTGGGGCTCCCCCTCTCTTGAATTACCTCCCAGGTGCTGTATTATCCCCGTAGTATAAATGCTGTACTACGGATATAATAATAATCAATAGTTTTATTATCCTGAGAAAATCTGTGTTAATTAACATTACAAATTATTGTATTATAATGTAAATTAAACTATTTTCTGTAATGTTGTGAACATAAATTATTACAGAATTTATACCATTTAAATAATTTATTGTTACAATTGTTAGTGATAAAGATAAACGTAGTTATTATAACAGGTTGTTATTTTCTTAACTATAATTTAACAGGTTTTTCTTAATTAACTTCCTGGTAAATCATTATTATTGTTAAATGTTAATTAAACTTCTGTTATTTTTATTTGATAAGTTTATTATGCAACTCATAACCCACTGAACAGTAGTTAAAACATCTGGGTCCAGGTGATAGAGCCCAACATTGTGATGGTGAAGCATAACAGAAGGAACGAGTTGACAATAATATCAAGAATAATGAATTTTTTCTTGGTAGAATGTAACAGTATGTTTGTGTAGATTTATTAATATAAACTGTGACCCCACAACAGTGATTGGTGACACACAAACAGTGATGGTGACAACAACATGATGGTGACACACAACAGTGATGGTGACACACAACAGTGATGGTGACACACAACAGTGATGGGACACACAGCATGATGGTGCCCACACAACAGTGTTGGTGACACACAACAGTGATGGTGACACACAACAGTGATGGTTGACACAACAGTGTGGTGACAACAACAGTGATGGTGCACACAACAGTGATGGTGACACACAACAGTGATGGTGAACACAACAGTGGGGGTGACACACAACAGTGATGGGTGACACACAACGTGATGGTGACACACAACAGTGTTTGGTGACACACAACAGTGATGGTGACACACAACAGTGATGGTGACACAAAACAGTGATGGTGACACAACAGTGATGGGGGACACACAACAGTGATGGTGACACACAACAGTGATGGTGACACACAACAGTGATGGTGACACACAACAGTGATGGTGACACACAACAGTGATGGTGACACACAACAGTGATGGTGACACACAACAGTGACGGTGGCACACAACAGTGATGGTAGAGTGAACTAGAGAGTCAAGACAACACCACAGTCTACCACAGTCACCTCTGTAATGTCACTGTGGTTGACTGCTGCTCTCACCACATCCAGACCACTCACTACCTCACCAAAGACATTGGACCACTTGTCACGATCTGTGCGGTCCCTGGTGCTGATGACAAACTGTGCACTGTAGCTTCTCCATGGCACACTCCATGACCACACAGCACCAGCACTGCCTGACTCCTGGTATTTTTGATAACGCTGGTGAGCCAGCAATGGTTGTCCTCCACGACCATTATTATACTGGTAGTCTCCACCTCTCACACACTCTCCTGGTTCACCCTTCTTCGTCACCTCCAACAGTTTAGTGTTGAGGAAGGAGGAGCCTGATGGATGTTGTCCAGTACACAACAACATAAACTGTCTGGCCAGTGAGGTGTCAGTATTCAGCTGGATGTGGAGTCTTCCTCTGGTGGAGCCAGGCCAGGTCAGGTCAAGGAATACCCGGCTGGAGGACAACTCCATCTCCTCCATCACCTCCATCACCTCAACAAACATCACTAACTATAATTTTAACACTTTACATATTATACATACTGAATTATAACTGTTACTGTTATAAAAATATAATTATTATTATTCAAAGTGGATTATAATTATGTATGTTTTATTAAATTAATATTGCTATAACATTATTATTATTACCAAATATTAACTCTGAATAATAAAATTTTATTAAAATATTATTTTATATTTATTACATTAATGAATTATTAATAATTCTTATTACAAATATTGAATAATAATTCTTATCATTATTAAATATTAATATTACTTCTTTCTTATTAATTAAAATTATGATAATTTTATAATTATTCTTATTAATAATAAAAAATATTTTTATACCATTATTAAATTATAATTATCGATAAATTATTGTTGTTTAATTCTTATAAATAATTATCATTCATTTACTTATATAGTATTAAAATAAATAATTATTAAACTATTATTATTATCATTAAAGCACTAAACCTAAATGGTTTAAACAGCAAATGAGAAATAAACTACATTTTAGTTCCTCTTCAACTGGGGTTCCTTGCCATGGTGAAGAAGCTCTTGGTCTGAGGAATTAGACCTGTCGGTCTCCTTCCTCAGACCGAACCTAATTACCCCCCAATCCCCCCTTCCCTATCCCATCCTCCCCTTTTTCCTTTCCCCTCCTCCCCACCCCTCCCTTTTGCCCTTCCTCTTTTTGACCTTGGGGATTCTTCCCACAAGCGTGCTAGTTCCTAGGTAGGGGAAGGTACCGGGGTCCATCCCATTCTGTTGAGGTTCTTGGCGGTGGTGTAGTTTGCTGTGGAATCTGGATCGCCTGGGGATATCCTGTTCCCTCTCCGGTTCCCGGGGCGAGGGGTGGCTTTGGTGCCCTTTCGGGCGAGGGTTTGTATTTCTCGAAGCCACCTTTCGGATTCCGGGGGTGGGGGCCCGAAGGAGGTATGCTTTGTGGAAAGATATCCGGCAGCCCTCTCTTTTGGTCTAACCGAGGTGCTCGGAGATGTGAGGTTGCTATCTGGATTGCTGGTTTAGGCTGAAGGGTAGGGTTGGGCACGGGGTTCCATGCTGCATCTGCACTACTTTGTGGTTGCTGAGGCCCTTTTCCCTTGGGCGGTGGGGGGGAGATTTTTGACCCTTCTTCCTCCTAGGAATACCCCTCCCCGGGTCCCCATTTTTTTTATTTTCATTTTCTTTTCTTCTTTTTTTCTTTCTTAAAAGCAAAAAGAAAAGAAGTAACTTAATCATGGAGAACCCAGTCCATGAACCTACTACCCCGAGCCCCTTTTTTGATACCGAACCCCATTCTGACCCTGCCTCGTTTTTTGACCACCCTTCGACCCATTCCTAAGGCCCCTGTATCTATTGCTGGTGCTGTTTCCTCATCCGTTTTCAGGTACCAGGGTTACGACTGACTCCTTCGATTTGTCTGACCTCCGCTCTTCTTTGGACTATGCTTCCGGCCTCTCCCTCTACTTGCAGCAATTTTCGAATCACCAGCCCGTTTCACGTCAGACCAACTCCGGTCCCACTCCTAAATGCCAACGAAAAATTGCCTATGATGCTCACCACCACCTCCGTTTTCTCATAAAAGATCAACACATCAAACACTCCTTTCCATACTCATTTCGGAAAGGGCCAATGGACAAAATTTTTTATTTTACGACCGACTTCCTCTGTTGCGTATCTTTCCAACTATTAGTATTGGCAAGGCGCTTCTCCACCATGTTGGTAGAGATATTTCCTTCCATGTTTCTGAAGGAGCGGTATGTGCATCATCACTTCAGAATGTACCCAAGCTCATGATCTTTCTCCTCTTTCAAAATACGATACTATTCCTGTCGCTATCGAAAAACATCTTCCTCAATTCTTGTAGTGGTACTGGTTATTCTCCCCCCATCCCATAGTCCAAACAAAATTTTCAGAAAAGTGGCAATGACAATTCTTGAACAGCTGGAACTCCAAGATCTCCCAATTCTCAAGGTAGACACATGTCCTTCTAGCCCGGGGGGTGGGGGAGACGATACCCTTGCAATGTGACTCGACAGCCGTGAACTCCCTTTCCTCTGTTTATGTAGCAGGACATTATTTTACAATTTTTGAAAGGTGATCCCTACACCGCAACATGTAGAAATTGCTGGCAAATTTGGTCACCCAGCAAAATATTGCAGGCTATAGCCAATGCCCAGTCTTGGGGTCCACGACCATTCAAATTATGGTCTTGCAGTCCGACCCTCCTCCTCTTTGCCTTATAGTCATGGGCTCACCCTTCGTACTTTCGCCTTTTGCCGGTCTACTTAAATGAAATCCGTGGCCTCAAAGAGGCAGAAGGTCTCCTATACTATGCAGTTTTCTCATTCCGCCTCCAAGGAGGACTCCCCGTTTTCTTAATCCCATGTTTTCAAATGTTCCCCCCCCCTTCTGGAGCCCCATCTTCTGCAGGCTCCTTGGTTGTTCCCTCTCCCAATAGTCACTCCTGTATCTAATTCTTTTGCTGTCCTTGGCTCAGACGTCCCTACTTCAAACCTCAGTCTGTTTTCCGGCTCTTCGAGGTTCTCCCTCACAAGCCCCGGGTATCTCAAGATCTCAAAACGCAGTACCAATCGCCCCCTCTACTTTCAGAAGTCCAAAAAATATAATTTTGTTCAAATTTTTTTTGCCCCTCCTTCCCTTCTCTGCCCAACATTTTGCCTTGTTCCAGTCTCTGTACCTGGTTCTTTCACTCTCACAGCTCTATACAAAGTGTGGAGGTTCACCTCCTCCTCGTTCTGTTGCCTTCCTCCCTGTCCCTCCCAAGTCCCCCCTCTTCTGCCGCCTCCCAACTTCTACTTCCAGTTCCCCAACTGCTTTGGTCCCCCCTATTTAGTACAGTCCATTACTGCCCCAAATTCTTTACTCACCCTTCTCCTTCTATCTCCAATATTGTCTCCCATACAAAACGTCTTTGAATTCAGAAACACTTGACGCTATTTTCAGAATATATTGCAGGGACTAAAACCTTCAATGGACACTTATCCACCTTTCCTGTTCCTTCTCTTCCCTCTCCTCCATCTCCACAACTCCATTCTTCACAAAAACTCCATTCCTTTTGCCCTTGGAACTTTCCGATGCCACTGCACGTAGACTTTTCTAATCCCCTAGCCGTAGGTGCCCTTACCTGCGGAAATTTCCTGGTTTTTTCCTCATTTTCCAATCATGGCCTATTTACAGTGGAATATCCGTGGCCCAGGGGTAATCGGGGTGAGCTTCAGATGTTGCTTTCCAGGTTTTCCCCTGTTGGTGTTTGCTTACAAGAACCAAAAATTACACTCAACTGTTTTCCAAACCCATCTCAGGCTATAATTTATTGTATTCTTCGGATCCTTTCTCAGATTGGACCTTTAATGAAAGTGCCCTTCTTCTACGCAATGATATTCCGTACTGTCAACTATTTGTCCATAAACCTCGCTGCATTACACTGCAGCCCGTATCCACTTGAATAAGTGGTTTTACAAATGTTTCTTTATATCTCTCTCCTTCTGGGCCTTATCTTATCCCAGATTTTGCTTTCTTGTTTCATCCTTACCGCCACCACTTCTGTTACTTTGGCAATTTTAATGCCCACCATTTCCTATGGGGGGGTCTCATTGTGACTCTTGCGGCATTCAGTTGGAGGGTTTACTCACTTCTCACCCCCTCCATGTTTTTAAATACAGGCAACCCCCACCCATTTTGATCCTCATATTCACACTCTCTCTTGCATCGATCTCTCGGTTTTGCTCTTCCTCCACTGCACTAGACTTTTTCCCGGTCCTGTTCTACCGGACTTACATTACAGCGATCACTTTCCAATCATTCTTACCTCTCCTTCATATTCACCACCTCTTCGTAGCCCTTGCTGGCAATTTGATCGAGCAAATTGGGACCTTTACTCGCAACTAACTGCTTTCAGTGAAGTTTTCTTCTTCATCCTCCATTGATGAACTTTTACACCTCTTCTCGACAATCAGTTTTAAACCGCAGCTTATCATTCTATACCCCAAACCTCAGGCAGGCATTCTCAGAATGTGTGGGCCCTGGTGGTCTCCTGCCGTGCTCGGCAGTACAATTGAAACGCACTGCATGGGGCAAAGGGACCCATACAGTAGACCCACAGAGAGACTCTTGATTTGAAGCAGAAAGCGAGGTGGTCGCTCGCCGTGTCAAACTGTGACGCTAAACCATTTGCTGGGGAGATTATGCTTCCATCATTACCTCGGCTTCCTCTATGAGTTGCAGTCTGGAAAAAGTACGGGAAATTGAAATGGTAAATACTATCCTGACCCAGCTCCTGTTTTTGCAGGGTTGCTGGTGTTGAAATAGCAAACCCTCTTGATGTTGGGCCCTTGAAATTGGCAATCCCCCTGGTCCGTATTTCTCAGGGGCTCCATCTATACCCCTTGTTTCTTTCCTCAAAGTCTGCCAGAGAGTTAGCACCCTTGAATTTTTTCTTCTCAAATTGAAGAACCATGTAATGTGCCTTTTACACTTCAGGAATGGAGGCAATGCTCTCCACTTGCCGATCATCGGCAGCTGAGCCTGACGACATTTCATATTCGGATGTTACAACATTTTTCATAAGTCAGCACTTGCAGTCCTCTTACACCTCTCAGTCTTATTTGGTCACAAGGAGTTCTTTCCCCAGCTGTGGAAATTTTGCTGTTGTTCTCCCGTTTTTGCAAACTGGGTATACGGGACATGATGCCTCCCACTACCGTCCCATTTCTCTTATCAGTTTCAGTTTGCAAAGTGGGGAACGTCTGGTAAATTAACGTTTAATGTGGCATTTTGAGACAACCAACAGTCTCTGCACTAGTCAATATGGCTTTGGTATGAGCCCTTCTACCATAGACCCCTTACTACATTAGATTTGTAATGGCCCTTGCGAATAACCGCTCAGTTTTGCTATATTTTTTGACCTTGAGAAGGCATATGACACAACTTGGAGGGATAATATTTTGGCCAGGCCCACTCCTTAGGCCTCCAAGGCAATCTACCATCCTTCCTTAAGAACTTTTTAACTGACAGACATTTCCAGTTTGGGTTAATAATGTGCTCTCCCTGGACTTTAAC